ACGAATCCTGTGCGTGAGGAGCGTGAGGACCCGCCCCCTCCTCCTTCCTCCCCGGCTGACATGCTTTTCGGCTCATCTACATTTTAATCCCCATTCTTCCTGTATTCAATGCCTAATAAATCTACTGCAACTAAGCTTCCCTTAAGGTCTGTGCTTCAGAGGCATGTAGCCCGTCGCCACAACAACAAGCATGTAAACGCCTTGAATAATACAAATGCACGCTCAAGTATAGCAGGTGATTTCTAACAGCAAAAAATGGTACAGGAATAATAAAAGTCGATTTTCAATATTTGTTTATATCTTCGAACTTTTCGGACTTTAAATCATTTTCAGTCTTTCTGAAATAGTTAAGCACTCCTTTTATCTGATGGTTTCGATCAATTTTTGCAGAGATAATGCGATTATCTATAAATTTTTAAAAGTTTTACATTCCTTCTGCCTGTCTCGTAGATCAATGCAATTATAGTAAAAATTCGCAATGAACACACCTTTACGAGGAGACAGCGTTTTGATTGGCCGTTTTAGGGTGTTAAGCTTGGCAGAGTATGTTATGCCTTTCGCAACGTCTTTTTTTAAGTTTGGCGAAAAAGAGTCCTCCTCGTCCGTAGTTTTTGACGAAATGCATGGCTTTAGCGGTGTGGGAAAGACTCACTTATTGCATGCGTTAACGCTCTCTTACTTCACTTTCGCTCATGGAGCCCTCAACAATGCATTTCTTGGTGAATTAGGTCGTACGGCCATCAATGTGAGGAATCATTTTTAGACTTGTGTTTTCCCACAAAACGTCTCAATAATATGTAGAGCTTTTTAATTTCTTGTACTTTTTAATGCTTCCGATTTGTTTTGTTCTGCCACGGGATCTTTTTTTGGGGGGGGAGGTGAAAGAGTGGTTTTCATAGTTGGTTCTAGTGCGGTTATAATACGAGACGCTAACTGTGAACGGCTACGGATCTCATGATCTGGACGCGTTATGATTCCGTTTTGATGCCGATGTTCTGGTGAGATGGGTTGGACTGGGTTTTGCTGATGTAATTCAGTGATTCCTTTAAAGCACAAAACTATTTTTAGAGTCATGCGTACATTACTCAGCTGGGGTGGCTAAATCTGCTGGAAAGGTCGGCAGGATGGTTTCAGTGTAGAATTTCAATAAGTAGCGTGTGTATTGGTCAGTCGGTAATCCAAAGCTTTCTCCTGTTAACTCCTGGTGCATGATTTTTCTGTTAATTTGATATCTAGCGGACTAATGTGTATTCTGTTGCTTGACTTGCTTGCCTCAAAGTTGACTCAGTGTCTGTTTCCTCTATTCCATGCATCGATGTGGCATGGAAGGGTAATCTGCTTTAATTTGCGCCTTTCCTGATTGTCTTTTTAGTGGAGACCAAAGAAGGAAAGAGTGGGACGTTACGGCCGTCGTTGAAGGCAGACGACTGCGTGGCTCAGCCAAAGTTACCGGTGTCTCGATTTGTTTTTCGGCTAATGTTAATAGGAGGGTAATTCTTGCTTACCTTCACAGCTGTTTGCTCCCTCTTTTGAAACCCCTTTATGATAGTTGAATGTCTTATGCCAGTCATTATTTGTTTAGTGCTTGGACGAGTTCTTTATGCGAACACTTTTTTCTCGTAATTATGCAATTACCTGTGCCTTTAATGTTGTGTTTAGACTTTCTAAATTTTGTCACTGCAAAGAAATTTGAGTTGGTAAGTAGCTTCCGTGTTTGCGACATTAAAATATGAAGAGGATTTCGCTAAGCCATTAAATTTACTGAAGAATGTACCATGATTGGTGCTTTGGGTGGAATGGCTTGGGAGGCTGGAGGGATTGCCACACTTTGCTTTCCTTTTTGATTTTGCTCTCTAAGGGTTCTGCTCTATTCATCCTACACCATCTTAGTCCATCTTTGCGAAATCGACGGGCGTGTCCCCTTCAGCAATGCAGCTGCCGTACTCATTATTGAAGTTTTAAAGGTCAGTTTTCCAATGCACATGCACGTTCTAGTGGGGCAAACAATCCCCTTATATCCCCAAGTCTCGCTCCACCACTAGTGACTGGAGGAAATTGTCTGTTGCTCTACGCTAACGTCTCAAAACACATCGACAGCAATGAAACGCTGTGGCGTGGTACCTACTACAAAAGTTTTGATTTTTTAGTTGTTTATCTCCCTTGGGATGTTTATGGTGGAGGTGAGGCGTGAACAGCGGGATACATCGCCCTCAGTGAATCACTATCTGCCTTACTTGGTGTCACGCCTCCGCAAAGAATTTTCACCGGAAGACGAGGCCAACACTAGTGCCTCCATTAGCATTACAAGCCTATTCTTGATCGTTGCACCCTTCGCTGTGCCCGCCATCCTTTACACCGTGACCAACAACATGGACATTTTCATCCAGATGGAAATGGATCCAGCCACGTATCAAGTACATTCCTAGGCTGTCTGCAACGGAACATTCCTTGGCACTGATGCGCCTTAGCTGAGAGTGGTGAATGTGTCCTAGCGATTTGGCATTATCATACTCATATTTTC